AACCACTGAGCTAAATCCCCAGCCCACTTTTAAGTAGCGAGATTAAAAAACAAGGTGTATGTTAGGAACAAAAAGCAGCTTGGCATTGAGGAAGCTTCGTTCTAGTCTCCAAACACGGGTCCTTTTCTTTCTCTTTCCTGCCTCTCCCGGAGCTCCACCAGTCATTCCTGGGAGACTTCCCTAAGTCCCTCACCCAGAGAAGACCTTGCCCTGTTCTACCTGTTTATTTCTAACTTAGCTCTTATATATCTCTTTTTTTACTATTTATGCTATGGATGCTAAGCACTCAACAAATACTCACAAAATGGAAGAAACAAGAGTCACTTATTTTGTTTAATTTTAGAGGAATGAATTTCAAATTCTTTTCTTCTGGATATAATTCCAGACATGTCCATAGATATTTAGTCTTTGACTATCATTTAGCATTAATCTTACACATATATATTTTCTTTATTCTCTTTAGAACTTACTTTACAGTTTATTTAATCAGAAATTCAGTGTTGAAGTAGAAATCATGTCTCATACTTCTCCATTTTTCAAAGTAATCTTATAATAACTAGTAGATGAATGATATTTATTGTTACTGAATATACATGTAATATAAAACTAGGAGCCCATGAAAATGTATTAGATGTAACCACTTCTATTGTGAAAAGAATTGGAATATTTATTTCTACCTTTATTTTAGATTATTCTAGTCATACTGGCAAATCAGTTGATGTTTTGGAAGTGCAAAGAAAATATTTCTACTGCTGATTACTGTGAGACAGTAGAATGGAATGCAGGACATATCATTTTATGATTCTCATTTCTACATGATTGCAGAGAAATGTTTATGTAAACAGTTCTTCTGCCCACTGAGGACACATCAACTGCAAAGACATACCATAATATGAAAAATAAATTCATTTCATAGACATTCTGAAATAACTGAATGCGATCCATACAAATTTATTCTCATTGGATGCTCCTCATTTACACTGACATAGCAAGTTTCCTGATAGTTGTACTTTTTTATTTATGATGCACATTCTGCTTTTGCTTCGTGCTGTCTCACAGCAAGTAATCTTGTTTTGCGATGCAGTAAGACCAGGAGCCCCCTGGCCAGTTACTAATACAGTCCTTTCCAGATGGAGTCCAGGTACCCCTGTGGGGAGGAGGTTCAGAACTTAATGCAGAGTTGTTAAAGATGTCCTATGGCTTATGTCAAGATGTCTCCCCAAAGTCTCTTGCAGTAATAGAGGAGCTTTCCAAAGGTGGCTGGATCTAGAGTGTGTGGTGCTGGGATCAAAGTGTGTGATGACTAAATCAGCCCACTGATTGATTTGCCATAGTTCTGGCTTGGATTAGGGTGTGAACATCTTCCCTAGGGTGAGATGCCTGCATAAAATATAAGGGAAATAAATAGAGCTAATGTTTGCTTGCCTGCCTGCTTGCTGTGGACTTTCTCCTCTGTGATGCGCCTCTGCCATGCACACTGTCTTGGAGCCAGCCAACTATGGGCTGAAGACCCTACAAACTGTGAGTTGAAATAAACCTTTCCTTCTTTAACTTTGGATGTTGGGTATTTTGTCTCAGCAATGAGAAAAGTAACTATGACAAAATAAAGATATTTTCAGGGAAATAAGCTAAAGAGAGACTAGGAGGGCAGTCCAGGAGGGATCCTGAGCAATGGGAAAGGACAAAAAAACTACATATTATTTATTGGCAAAAAAAAAAAAGAAAAGAAATATGCAGAACTCCAAAAAACACCCATGTGTAAATAAGCTTTGGCCATAACGAGATAGGAGATTAGGGTGTGGCACAGCTTGCTGGGGAAGTAGCTGTGAGCTGTTAATGACAAGATCCCAGACACATATGCAGAAGATCTGCACACAGGCTACTTGGGAGAATTCCTGCAGGTTTTTAAAAGTATGGCCTAGACCTGACGTCAGCCTGAGGACTGGGATCCTAGCACCACCTCTCAGGGCCTCTATGTAGAAATTCTCATGGGTTTCTTTGATATTTGGACATGATAAAGGGCACAGATACCAAAAAGAGCTTGCTATCATGGTTTTTTCATGGTAGCCCACCCTGCTTTCTCCAGGGTGTCCTTTTATTTTATGTTTTTCTCCTTTTACTTGGCCAAACTTGCTCTGCAGAGCCAGTTTCTCCCTCACTCTTCATTTCTACCTTTTCAAATAAACTTTGCCACTGCTCTTGGCTCATTTTGTTCAGTTCTTTGCATCAGATGAGAAGAACCTGGAATCTAACCCAAAGGGATAGTCAAGCAATCCAGCAGCCAATAATGTTTAGTTAGTGAGTACTTTCTCACTAACTACCAGATAGATGAGAAGCTATCTGGTAACACTAGGAATAAAAAACATAGACTGTGAAAACTATGAACCTATACCCACTGGACATATTGGTACAAAATCACAAATGTATAGAATTTACTTTTCCAAACTGAAGTGGTTGCACATTTTAGTGAGGAGTGCTGTAGATGGAGATTCTGCCAATAGAACCCCCATAGGAAATAAGCCCAACACTTGTGCTCCTCAGAAAGTCTCTCTGATTCTGGATGGTATCTTTCCCATGAGTTCCTTTATTAGGTTAGACATGGTACCTCTTTCAGATCAGTTTAGAGAACAGGTAGTAGTCATGTGATCTGCCATACTTTCTGCTTCAAGCCTTACCCTGTCCTGTCACCGGTTCTTACTGTCTCCACTTCTTCCTCTTTATAGTATGAGGAGAGATTATGAGTTACTGTCTTCAGTGGCAACATTGACAGCTTTGAATATGAGTGCTATAGCAGAGATTCAAAGTTTTTTATTCAGCACAGGTAATGGATATCTTTTCCCCAAAACAACTCTGAATCAGTTGTCTTATTTCTAGCTTCTAATGCATATGTATTGTCTTAGTTACTTTTCTCATTGCTGAAACAAAATACCCAACACCCAAAGTTAAAGGAGGAAAGGTTTATTTCAGCTCACAGTTTGTAGTGGTTTCAATACATCACTAGCTGGATCCAAGGCAGGGTGGCATAGCAAAGGGGCATCACAGAGGAGAAACAGTTCATGGCAGGCAGAAAACAGTAAGCAGCAAGCAACAAGCAAAGGCAGGAGCCACCAAAGACCCTCTTTTTGTCCCTTTTGTCTTACCCAGATGACCCACACTTAGGACAGGTGGCACTCACACCAGGTGGGGGGAAGCTTTAATCCTAGCATAACAGCATGAATTAATCTCAACATCACCTTCTTGATCCAGTGTCACACATCCTAGATCCAACCACCTCCAAAAAGCCTCATCCATGTCCATATGAAGCTTTGGAAGAACATCCAGATACAAGAAGCCGTAACATGTTTTGTAGGATTGCTACCCAAACTTGAATATCATGAAAAATGTCCTGCAAAAATAAGTGACAAAAGTTTAACCAAGTTTGGAAATTGGATTCCTTGGCCTTTCATGAAGATATTGTACCAAGACTGTGGCAAAAGTTGACAACATAACTGTAGCATTTCAGCTCTTATGGATGTTAAGTACTATCAGAATCTAATCTTGTCCATGACATGGGGAAAATTAAAGATTAAATCCATGATGGATGATATTTAGGAGAATTCAAAGCATAGAAGAACCTTAAAGACTCCAGCCCCCCTCCTCATAGCATACGTACTACATGTATTGTTTCTGCAATAAATGGAGGAAAAGATATTCAAACTGAAATCTGAAGAATATAAATTTACTAGATTAAGGAAAGGTAGGAAGTTTGGGTTGAGTGGTAAAGAACATTCCACAAAGAAGTGAGAATATGTTCACAGATTGAAAAGTTTGTGGCATATTTGGCAGAACTACAGGTTATCAGTATGGCTGAGGTATGTCATACAATCAAGAGGGCATACAAGAGACAAGGATGGGGGTATACATAGAGTGAGATTGTGAACCACTTGAGGAAAGATTCAGAGTTAGACAAAAAGAGGGCTAGGGATTTAGCTCAGTGGTTTCACCACCTGTTATTCAAGCGCAAGGACCCAAGTTTGATCCGTTGTACAAAAAAAAAAAAAAAATCTCTCCATAGGGTTAGACAAAAAGATTTAGGGTTTGTTTTTGAAGGTCATTGGCTGAGAGTTGTTACTCAAGAAAGTTATGACATTAGAGATATTTGTGGAGATATTTGCCTGCAGGTTGGGCATGGATTGGGAGTTACCAGAGGATAGGTAGAGGAGAGAGGGGGAGAGGTACAGCAATGGGTACTAAGTTAGTATGATTAAGAAGCTCCAATGCGGTATTGTATAATAGGGGAACTATAAAACAATTCTGGATTGTATATTTCAAAAAGATAGGAGAAAATAGACAAATTTTTCCCATGAAGAAAAGATAGATGTTCGAGGAGATAAGTATGTTTAACATGATTTGAACATTACACAATTATATACATAGATCAAAATACTGTATGACAGAGAATCCCAACACACACACACACACACACACACACACACACACACACACATACACACACTACAACTTTCCTTTGCAATGTAGAGTGGTGTGGAAGCCAACCAAAACAAACGGCAGGGGGGGTATCTAGGAAGTCTATACATTTTTATTTAAGGAATTCTACATGTTGTAATTCCTTCACTGGACATCAAGTTCAACTTAATGAGGGTCTTTGTGTTCAAGTTAGCCCTTTTTAAAGGCACTGATGCCTGATCCAGTCATCCCATCTGCCTATAATTATTTTATTTGGGCTTTTATCTCCACTTGAATTAGGGACACACTAATGAGAACTTCAAAGTTCCCTGTCTGGCATTTTGGGGGTCTAATTTCTTCCAGTAATTCACATTAGGATCAGTGAAAGTGGATATATAGGTCTACCTTGTCTTCCATTACTGATATGTTTACAAACTTACTTGAGTTCAAATCATATTCATTCCTAAGCTACCAGACTAAGGAATAGTACAGGTGTCTGGGATAGGCCAGTATCTTAGGTAAAAAATAATATTAAGTCTTTTGTAGTTTTTGCTAACTCTCTTGTAGTCTTTTCTCACAGACCTAAAAATTATTTCTGTGAATAAAGCAAAATCACAGAGTTGTTCTATGAAGTGTTTCTAAGGATGTGCAGTTGTGGAAACCCCATCAGGACAGATGTCACCAAGGTTAGGAAGATCTAAAATAGATTCAGGCAGAAAGAATGATAGTGAACTTTGTGAGAGCTTTGGTCACATCCCCCATCCTCCATTTGTCAAAGTGAATTTTGACCCCTTGTGTAAACATTGGGCCCTCAGCAGGGTGCTTTGAACAACAGGAGGTGACTGGATGGCCAGTTTGGGCCTTGCTTTTACTCCTCATGTTTCTTCTTTGTCTGTATCACACATGTACCCAAGGAAGCATGAATACCTTCTTTAATTCTTCTGTTCATACTAGTTTATCTTTTGAATACAGAATTCATACTGATAGCATTCTATATATATATATATATATATTTATATATAGAGAGAGAGAGAGAGAGAGAGAGAGTGATATATGCAAAGCAAATATTCCCATGCAATTTCCCTTTTTATCCTTTTCAATCAAGAACCTAAAGCTATGTAACATGCACTTTATCTCAATTGAATTTAATAGCAGAATACAATGATTTAATATTTTTACTTAAATATTACAGCGTTGAATAATTTAGTTGGCATCTAGTGTGTATTTTTTTTTTTTTTTGAGACACGTTCTTGCTATGTAGCTCAGGCTGGCCTTGAATTCACTATGTAGCCCAGGCTGGCCTCAGACTCACAACAATCCTCCTGCCTCATCCTCCCAAGTGCTGATATTTCAAGCATGTACCATGACACTAGGCCCTACTGTCTAATTTTAATTAGGATACCAGTCTAATAAATCACACAGGTAAAAAGTCTTAAACTTTTCTTGTAAGAAACTTACATGACTAGGGATAAGAAAAATTAATAACACTATAAGAAAAAAGATTGTCAAATATCAATGTGTAACTCCAGGGAAGTCCAATATTTTTCTAATCATCAAAGCAGTAGAACTAACTTTCATTAATATTTTCTGCTGTTTTTTAATGGCCATGATTCTATCTTTTTGTCTTAATGACTCATGGTTAATATAGCATATATATGTGTGTGTGTGTGTGTGTGTGTGTGTGT